AGGGGAGGGAACAAGTAAATTTAGTGAATAGGCAAATTTGCATATATAGATTCTACAGATAATGATCAACTATATTTTGAAATGCATTTTTAGCTGCATATGTGGATTAGCTACACACTTTGGATTATATTTATTTTACTGTTTATCCTCAATTTTAGTGCAATACTCTATAATCTGTTGTATGATCACCTAAAGAAAACCCATCATTGGGACTGTGAAATTAGGCTTATTCTTCATTATTGTTCCTTTCTTTCCCTCATGATTTCTCCTTCTCTATACCACAGTCAGCTTTCCTCATTATGTGGAAAAAGAGTACTAGATTAAGATTTAAGAGTAGTTCCAATATTAACTTTGCCTCTACCTTAATGTAAGAACTTGAACAATTTATAGGCCAAGGCATTATTTCCTCATCAGCAGAATGATTGTGTGTTCCAATCTGTAGGATCTTTCTCAACCTTAACACTCTGTTATCCTATATATTTGGAACTTGGAAAATTTAAGATACTGAAACAAATTATAAAACTAAAGCAAAATGCATTTCCATAATCATAATAAGACAAAAGCTTAGAATACACAGATTTTTAAAAGCACTGGGATTCATGACAATTTATTTTTTAAAATATTCAAACTTTTACCTGAAAATTATTAATAATTATTAGGGTTTAAGTGAATTACCTGGATAAAAACTGTCACACATGGACAGTCTGTGTACTAGTTTAACTAGTTAAACAATGTAACAAAAAAAATCCCCTTATAATAGCAATAACATTTTTTTAAGATTTCATTTTTGTATTTATAGAGAGAGTATGTGAGCCAGGGGAGGGAGAAAGAGAATCCCAAGCAGACTGTGCCCAGCATAGAGCTGGATGCAGGGCTCAATCCCACAACTCTAAGATCATTACCTGAGCCGAAACCAAGAGTCAGACACTTAACTGACTGAGCAACCTACATGCCTCAGAAATAAAAATATTCTTAAACAAACATAAATGTAAAATTAGCAAGAAAACTACAAGAATTATATGAAGCAAAAGAAGATTTGAATAAATTGAAAGATATAGCCTGTTATTGGCTATGAAGCCATCAAGCTAATGAATTCAAACAGAAATCCCATAAACTAAAATTAATGTGGAAAAATAAATGTTAAACGAAAAGCCAGGAAATATTTGAAAAAAAGAAAATAGTAATAATAGAGTAGTAACTACACCTATTATTAAAACATATTGTAGGGAACCCTGGGTGGTGCAGCGGTTTAGCCCCTGCCTTTGGCCCAGGGCGCGATCCTGGAGACCCGGGATCGAATCCCATATCGGGCTTCCGGTGTATGGAACCTGCTTCTCCTTCTGCCTGTGTCTCTGCCTCCCTCCCTCTCTCTCTCTCTCTGTGACTATTATAAGTAAATAAATAAAAATTAAAAAAAAACATATTGTAAAGGTATAATTAAACATGATACTAGAACATGATAAGCAGGCATATCTGTCCATTACAGAAATATGTAATAAATTTCTAATGTATCTGGATTACTTTTCCATTTCTTCATGCATGCCTAATCCTAAGAAGCATGGACATACCATCCTGTATAAGACTATTTAGCTATGGCTTAAGAATAAGAACACAAAGAAGTTAGTACTTTATGCTGTCATTCTTTGGTGAAATTGGATTCCTTTCTGGTCATTAAATAACTGCTGTCCACAGGCCTTTTGTGGACATTCGGAGTTGGTGCACAAAGATGTATTTTAAAAGATGGGACTATATAATTTATTCTTCTTCTTTATTCATGAATTATCCATACATATAATAGTTTCAGCTGCTGTGCTAAGCTCTAGAGGTACAGTAATAAGTTACAACCTCTTTCCTAAAGAAGCTCATAGGTCATAAGGGAGACTCAAGTTATACAAGTAACTATTATTCAATACAGTAAGTATTGTATTAGCTTTATGAGGTTAAAAGAAGTAACAGTTCTTTCTGCTTGAAAATTGGCACCACAAGAAAGAAGTGCTTTACAGGCAAACACATTATGTGGGTCTCAAAAACCTTTGAAAAATAAGTAAAATTTTGCCAAGAAGAAAAGGAAAAGAGAAATCACTCACAACAGAGGAGAAAATACTTTTGAACACACTCAGGCATGGAAAAACACCGAGTATGCAAGGAACTCTTCATGGTCCTTTGAGGTAAGAGTACAGCTCTGAGGAAGGGCACATATCTGGAAAGATAGACTGAAGACAAATTGTGAAGAATCTTGAATGCTACGCTGAGGGATTTGGTTGCTGTTCTTTGGGTAGAAACAAACTATCAAAAGTTTCTCACAAAAGGGACATAAAAAAAACAGATGAAAGACTCAATTAGAAGGAATTCTATGGATCGAGTCCCACATTGGGCTTCCTTCATGGAGCCTGCTTCTCCCTCTGCCTGTCTCTGTCTCTGTGTGTGTGTGTGTCTCTCATGAATAAATAAATTTTAAAAATATATATATATATATAAAAGAAGGAATTCTATGAGCAACCTAGCTTAATATCTGGCTCTAAACTGTAGGCCCCAGAACCTGTAAAAGTCAGGCAGTCTCCCTTTCAACTGCTTACATACCCAAAGGTGCTTTGTAACTCTAGGCAAAATGTGAAGAAGACAAAAAAATTTGTCAGCAGTGACCAAAAGCATTCTCTAAGACCATACTTCTCAAATCTGGATGCACGCTGGAATCATCAGGGAAACTTAAAAAAATGCTCATGGCTGGGTCTCACCCCTATTGATTCAGACTCAGTTGGCATGGGTAGTCGTCTGGGCACTGAGGAGGTTTCAAAGCTTGCCAGGTGATTCTAATATACATTCAAGTATGAGAACTACTGCACTAAAACAAGAACCTATTGTTTCTACAATTCTGGAAGTTATTTTTCCCAAATTTTAAGGTATCTGAAATTTGGATACTTTTTACAACCCTTATATGCGTTTCATTTGAGGCTCCTTTCTTCTTTCTAAAATGCTCTTGTTAAATTCATTTGTACATCGTCTTACTGATGCTATCTTCGAAAGGAGGAGACATACTGTATAAATTATAATAACTTACAAACAACAAAATATAAAATATATACAGGAGTTGGTTTGCTGTTTGTTTCTTTGCTTGTCATTCTGCTCAGTATCCTCTTCTTGCACTGAACTAGCAGCCATGCTATTTTTCCCTCAGATGTCTATCTCTTGTTTTAGACCACTTATTCCTACAAACTTGCTCAATATGCAGTCTCTAATTTGAGTCTTTAATCAGTTGTTTTCCATTGGTTTCTACATAAGGTATATCTTTCCTCCAATATGCTCAAAAAATGCTGGCTGTAGTGATATATACCTTCTGCTCTAACCCTAAGACACTGTCTTTTTGAATTATTGTTTGTTGTCATTCCCTTTTAGTTTCACTCTTGTGGCAGTTATAGTTTTAAAGTCCTTTTGGCTAAAATAAATGCTTTCCAATTTGGAGTCATTGTTGAAAACAGATCTCTCATTCTTATAGTGCTCATTTTTCTCTCTGTCTCTGTGTCTCTTTCTCCCTCCTTCTCACCCTTCTCTCAAACATCCCCCGCAACCCACAGCGCACACACTCAACAACCAAAATCTCAGAAATATCTCAGAGGTTTACTGCGAAAGATGAAATAATGGACAAACTGAAGGTGGACTTTTAAAGTAAGAAATGATGAGCATTACGAGAATCACAAGTTCCTCAAGAATGTTCAGTGCCAATGAGGAAAGGAAAACAAGTCAGGGTTGCTGTTAGGATTAGCAACTGAGTGAATTTGCAATCTTTTCTGGATATTTGTTTGTCTTAGTTTTGTATCATTATCCCCACTGTAATGTAATGGGCATACATTACATTGAATCTTGCTTTTCTTCTTTACTCTTGTTTCCCTACTGACAATTTCATTTTCTTGTACATAGTATGTGTTTTTTAAATATTTTCTAAACACCTGAATTAATGTGTAGAAGGAGGAGTAAGGGAGAATAGAGTGTCAGATATGTGATTTTTTTAGTATGATCGTAAATTCTTGGTTATGTATTTAGTGACAAATGCTAACCCATGATCATGTTCACTAGGGTGATCTTGCTTAATTAAATATTTTGGAGTAGAATCTTACTTATTTTAGTGATAACAACCTTTCCATTAATCAGTAATGTGACATTGCTGAGGAAATGACTGTCTTAGGTGATATTTCTAGAAATCTCTGCTCAGTTCAAAGAAGATAGTGATTCTGTTGTGCTGTATTATTTATTTACTGATGCGAAAACCCCATATTCTGAGAATGACATCAGCAAATGAAAGTGTATTCCGAAGATGACGACCAAAATAGAGACCATGTGGTTTGATGAGTGTTTCAATTGATTGTAAAACGATAGATGGAAACAAAAGTATAATCGGAATGGGGTTTAAGGGACTGGACTTTAGACCTGATCTAACTGTCCCATTCCTTGGCCATAGATGAATCAATTTTCTTTTGGCCCCAATTACCTTTCTATAAACAAATTGGAAAGTCTTGGTAACTCTCTAAGCTTCTTTCCCAGCTCTTTTGTTCAAAACATTTCAATATTACGTAAACATGATAATTACCTTCAAATAATGAAAAGCTAGTATATGTAAAATGATAACAGTTTAGTTAGGTGTGTTTTAGAAGATAGAAATAGCCCTAACAGGATTTACAGAAGGAGATTTTAGTTCAACCTAAGGGTAATTTTTTGACCATTATATTAATGCATAAGTAAAAGCTTTCTTGTATGAAGGAGTGATGCTTCGTGTAGAATAAATAGGGAAATTATTCATCAAGTGAGAAAATGAGCTGCTTGGTAACACCTCCAAATGTAGTATACTCTAATTTTCCTAAGACATGACCTCAGGCCCAGTGTTTGAGCAAGCTTATATCCCAGTTTATTTGAATTTAATAAATGGTCTTCTTTTGTCATAAAGTAAGGAGGGTGGGAAACATGGAGCACCAAAACTTCGTCTCTTTGATTCGCTCTATAACGTTCAGCAGGTTCAAGGTCAACTGCCGCCATTAATGATTCCCGTGTTTCCTCCTGATCAACGAACACTGGCTGCAGCTGCCCAGCAAGGATTCCTGCTTCCTCCAGGCTTCAGCTATAAGGCTGGTTGTAGTAAGTACCACTGATTTTCCATTTGGGAGTGGGTGGAGGGAATGGCTTTAAATTAGGCAATTTAATATTCCTGCCACACCAAGAAATGAGATCACCCATATAGCATTTTTATTTTAAAGAGGAAACACACAGAAAGTATAGAAAAGAAATTAAGTTGGTATTTAAAAGAACTTAGATTATTTCTATGCTTCTGAAACCAATGTTTGCTCTTTATATTTCAGTTTCATAACTTCCATTTCCAGTGTATTTTTATTTTTTTTTTATTTTTTTTTTATAAATTAATTTTTATTGGTGTTCAATTTACCAACATACAGAATAACACCCAGTGCTCATCCCGTCAAGTGTACCCCTCAGTGCCCGTCACCCATTCACCCCCACCCCCCACCCTCCTCCCCCTCCACCACCCCTAGTTCATTTCCCAGAGTTAGAAGTCTTTATGTTCTGTCTCCCTTTCTGATATTTCTCACACATTTCTTCTCCCTTCCCTTATATTCCCTTTCGCTATTATTCATATTCCCCAAATGAATGAGAACATACACTGTTTGTCCTTCTCCGGTTACTGTGGCCAAGTTCAAAAAGGGTGTTGCCTGAGTTCTTCTCTGGGATTTTGATGGAATCTTGTCTCACATTTAGATCTTTCATCTATTTTGAGTTTATCTTTGTGTATAATGCAAGAGAGTGGTCCAGTTTCATTCTTCTGCATGTGGATGTCCAATTTTCCCAGCACCATTTATTGAAGAGACTGTCTTTCTTCCAGTGGATCGTCTTTCCTCCTTTATCGAATATTAGTTGACCATAAAGTTCAGGGTCCACTTCTGGGTTCTCTATTCTGTTCCATTGATCTATATGTCTGTTTTTGTGCCAGTACCACACTGTCTTGATGAACACAGCTTTGTAGTACAACCTGAAATCTGGCATTGTGATGCCCCCAGATATGGTTTTCTTTTTTAAAATTCCCCTGGCTGTTTGGGGTCTTTTCTGATTCCACACAAATCTTAAAATAATTTGTTCTAAGTCTCTGAAGAAAGTCCATGGTATTTTGATAGGGATTGCATTATACGTGTAAATTGCCCTGGGTAACATTGACATTTTCACAATATTAATTCTGCCAATCCATGAGCATGGAATATTTTTCCATCTCTTTGTGTCTTCCTCAATTTCTTTCAGAAGTGTTCTGTAGTTTTTAGGGTATATTTTGAGAACCATTTGAATGGTAAATGGTTCTCCAACCTTTTATTTTCAGGTTGTAGGTGTCCTTCTGTCTAAAATGAGTCTCTTGTAGACAGCAAATAGATGGGTCCTGTTTTTTTATCCAGTCTGAAACTCTGCGCCTTTTGATGGGGTCATTAAGCCCATTCACGTTCAGAGTTACTTGAACTTCTTCTTAAAGGGGAGTTTTAAGAGTCCCCCTTAAAATTTCTTGCAGGGCTGGTTTGGAGGTCACATATTCTTTCAGTTCCTGCCTGTCTTGGAAGCTCTTTATCTCTCCTTCCATTTTGAATGAGAGCCTTGCTGGATAAAGTATTCTTGGTTGCATGTTCTTCTCATTTAGGACCCTGAATATATCCTGCCAGCCCTTTCTGGCCTGCCAGGTCTCTGTGGAGAGGTCTGCTGTTACCCTAATATTCCTCCCCATGAAAGTCAGGGACTTCTTGTCTCTTGCTGCTTTAAGGATCTTCTCTTTATCTTTGGAATTTGCAAGCTTCACTATTAGATGTCGAGGTGTTGAACGGTTTTTATTGATTTTAGGGGGGGATCTCTCTATTTCCTGGATCTGAATGCCTGTTTCCCTTCCCAGATTGGGAAAGTTTTCAGCTAGGATTTGTTCAAATACATATTCTGGCCCTCTGTCCCTTTCGGCGCCCTCGGGAACCCCAATTAAACGTAGGTTTTTCTTCCTTAGAGTGTCATTTATTTGCCTTAATCTGTCTTCATGGTTCTTTGTTTATCTCTTTTTTCCTCAGTTTCCCTCTTTGCCATTAACTTGTCTTCTATGTCACTCACTCGTTCTTCCACCTCGTTAACCCTCGTCGTTAGGACTTCTAGTTTGGATTGCATCTCATTCAATTGATTTTTAATTTCTGCCTGATTGGATCTAAATTCTGCAGTCATGAAGTCTCGTGAGTCCTTAATGCTTTTTTCTAGAGCCACCAGTAGCTGTAGAATAGTGCTTCTGAATTGGCTTTCTGACATTGAATTGTAATCCAGATTTTGTAACTCTGTGGGAAAGAGGGCTGTTTCTGATTCTTTCTTTTGAGGTGAGGTTTTCCTTCTAGTCATTTTGCTCAGTGCAGAGTGGCCAAAAACAAGTTGTATTGGAACACGGGGGAGTATCACTGGTCCGTCCAGCTGGTCTTCTGGGGAGGGGCCTGCTGTGCTGATTTTCAGGTGTTAGCACTTGGGGGAGCTGCTCTGCCCCTGCCTGCTGCCGGGCTCAGCGGGGGTTGTTTACCCCGTGGGGCCCCAGGAGGAACAGCCGCAGTTGCTATGGCAACTCTGGAAGCCTGGATTCAGCCTCCGCAGGAACTACGGGGCTCGGGCTCGGGGCTCTCGGTTCTCCGTCCGCAGGGCCTGGAGGCTCCGGGGCGGGGCCGCTGATCTGCTCAGCTCGGGGCAGGAGCGTCCTCGCTGTCCTGGGCCCTCCCGGCCTCTGCCTGTCCCGGGTGAGGCCGGATCCTGGGCTGTGTCCCGGCGCCCTGTGCTCCGGGGCCTGCGCTGTGGGATTCGCGCTCCCGCCCCGCAGCCCCCTCCGCGGAGCCGCCGCCCGAGCCCCTCCGAGCTGCTCCGGTCGTCCCGCCGTGCGCGCTGCAGCCCTTAGGGAGCTCGGAGCACTCCCCGGGGCGCAGGTGTCTGTTAGTGTCCCCGGGAGCCCGAGGGCATCCCCGCCCTCCCGGGTCCTGCTCCAACTCCCTGCGAGCCCCTTTCCAGCCGCCCGGGAAGGTTGGTGCAGCTCCTGCTCCTCCGGGACGGGGACGGGGCTCTCCTGTCCTGGGGACACTCGCCCCGGCCTCAGCCCGGCTCCTCGCGGGGCCCCTCCCCCTCGGAGGCCTTTTGTTCCTTTATTTCTTTTTCCCCGTCTTCCTACCTTGATAGAAGCGCGAACTTTTCTCACTGTAGCATTCCAGCTGGTCTCTCTTTACATCTCAGGCCGAATTCGTAAATTTTCAGGATGGTTTGAAGGTTATCTAGGTAATTTGGTGGGGACAGGTGATTTGGGGACCCTGCTCTTCCGCCATCTTGCCCCTCCCCCCCCTCCAGTGTATTTTTATAATATGAATGTAATTTTCAGGTTTGGTTTGTTTTTGCAAAGATAGGAATATGCTCTTCAATTGCTTTCCATTACCTTTTAAGATAAACTCATTTTTCCTAATGTGAATTAGTTGGCCTTTCATCTATATCTTCCCTATGTTTTCAGCCTAATTTCTCAGGAGTCTTAGTTCTTAGACCAAACCATACTCTTTCTTGATTCTGAACTTATATTGTCAAAGTTTACTTTCTTCAGTATTCTAATGACCTTCCAAATCAGATCAGGGAAAACTTACCTAACCTAGTTAGATCCCTTTCTCCTAGTTCCTTTGGATCTTGTGTATTTTCTCCTTTATTTTAATTGTAAGTTCTATGAGAGCAGGTGCTAAATCTGTCTTATTCATTCAATTTTATATCTAAAATTTAGTACAACATTCCATTACCTGTTGAATGAATGAATGAATTAATGACCACCTCATTAGAAACACTAAAAGGACATTTTTACACTAATTAAGAAGTCTTAACCAAAATAGCTGTTTGTATTGCTTATTAAATTTAGATTTTATGACTTCTTTTTTTACCAAAACTGAATTTGTATATTATTAGTTTGGGAAACAGTCTAATACTTCACTTTCTAAAATTTAAAAGGCCAAAATGCCAACTATAATCCAATAAATAAAAAACATAGCAAATTCCAAAGAGAGACTATACTGCTAAGCAGCTTATCTTTCAGAACATTATTACCATGGCCTTAAAGATACAGAAAAGGCAAGTTTATTGGAATACTTTCATTGATAAACGTATATGGTTTCACTCATATGGGTAATGTAAAAAATAGTGAAAGGGATTATAGGGGAAAGGAGAGAAAATGAGTGGGAAAAATCAGAGAGGGTGACAAAGCATGAGAGACGCCTAATCTGGGAAAGAAACAGGGGGTAGTGGAAGGGGAGTTGGGTAGGGGATGGGATGAGCACCAGGTGTTAAACTATATGTTGGCAAATCGAACTCCAATAAAAAATTTTTAAAAAAAGCAAAAGAACATAATTGAAAACAATTAATGAAATACCGTCTTTTAGCTATTCATATAGAATATTGCTTTGTAAAATCCAGTGTATTTGGGTTCATTTATATGTTAATAAATTGCCCCATTAACATCTTGCTGTGCGTCAGTACTTACTGCAGTTGAGAAAAACTCTGTCCAACATTACTAGAAATTGTATGTAAGCTTTCTGCTAAATGGTGTTTTGAATGTTCACATTTTAACATTTATTCCCAGTCTTTAAACCATTCTTTATATAATATTGAAGAAATGGGATGTAGTTTTTTAAATTTTAAAAGACATGAGTAGATTGCAACTATGGAGTCTAGATAAAAGTGAGCTGAATTCAGGACTATAAAAATTCACTCTTGTATGGTATTTTGCCCTTTGCAGTTTTTAGATTTCTTTTGCACATCTTTTTCTTGACCTCAGGTTCGTCTGATTTAAGACAGTGTTCTCACTCTGGATCCTGAATTTATTCATTTAGTATTATTTCCACATCACTCTATCTCTGTAGATTGATTCATCCAGAAACACCAACATATTTTTACAATTAAGGACTATATTTATATTCTAAAGATTTAAATTATAAGAATAATTTAGATTCTAAATATAGAATTTCAAACTCTCTTGCTACACTAAATTCTGAATTTTTAACCATAAAATATTTTTTTGTTTTGTTTTGTTTCCATTTTCCTAAGGAATTACTATTCAC